GCACTGTCCTTTGTTGTGCTTGTAACCTGTGGTTTGCAAAAATTTACAAGAAAATTGTATGTTTCACCATTTGACAGTTTTTGAGATAGGGGTGGGTTAGAAGGATACAAGGAGACAACATAAAAAAACAATGGCTCAGATATATGGATGGGTTAATTTGAACACAACATGTTATTCAAATACATATGCTGTTAAATCTGTGTTTGTGTATTTTCCTTTAAATATAGAAACCCATGTAAAACTCTACAAGAATTAACATACATTACCATCTACTACTACAGACTTATGCTAGATTTGCAATAAATACCATATCTGCCATCATGCTGTGGCCCAAAGACAGATCATTTACCCATAAGATCAGTTATGACGTGCGAATGTAGTGTAGACCTGGCCGACGGTGCCCATCTGTGGACCAAACCAGTAATGGCTGTTGTCCTTCGTAGCAGAAAGGTAAGTCCTCGGTCCGGTGTTTCCGAAGAGTCACACGGAAAAGAACCCGCCAAACTTGTCGATAAGAGTAGGGGTCCACCAGAGTGGATCAGAAACGTATATATAGCGCCTTACGCAGCTTGCACTTACGCCGTGACCGGCGGTGCCAGTGCTGGGACATGTGGCGGAGACACAAATTCAAACATACAGACGAACAAACAACGGATTAAATACATGGAAGGACACATTTCGACGAAACAAAATGGAATGAAATGAAAACAAAGTCACAGGTTCAACACAAGATACGCGTGCAAAAACAAAAAAAAAACTGGGTGAACGGCGCACTGTTCAGCTTCCCAATCTTCCACTTTTCGTCGGCCATTTTCACATCCAAACACCGCACAATGGCTCCAAAGACTACCCTTTGAGTCTATTTCACATTCAAACTCCATAGCACCAGCGAAAAATGCAACAGAAAGCACCAAAACCAATGACAGATGAGACCAAAACACTGGCACGCATGTAAACACGCTACATCGCACGGTTCGCGCGTCCGTCCGAAGTGACATTAACCTTTGACCTGGCCCACAATCCTGTGCGGCGCTGGATCTGTGAGAAGGCTTATTGCTTCAGGGTACACTTCACAGGTGGTGTTTTATGTTAGGCGGAGTGAGAGGCTAGGACAGGCTAAACACTGTTTCAGATGAGCCTGCTGCTTCATATCAGAGGGTCTGCATGGGGGGGGGGGTCCTGGCAACGGTTAACGGTAAATTCGGGCGGTCGGCAACGCTTCATGGTAAATTGACAGGCTATACTGATAATGCTTAACGGTGAATTAAAGTAGCCCATAATGCTTAAATAACGGAAAAGGGCATGCAGGAACCCATATCAGTCTGAGCCAGTCAATAATTTGAATAACTTGGTAATTTTTTTTTCGCTATGGACAGGATAATCGGGCTACTAGCAGGTGGGCAACAATAAGAATTTATTCCAGGCCACAAGAAACCGAGTAACGTCACCAACAACTAATAAGACATCAGAAAAAAGCATGCATTCATTAACAAAAAAAGCCTGACTCATTGTGTGGCTGTTCCCATTGCAAAGTCGTGCAGTTCTCTGCGCATGAATGTTAGAATTGACATTCTATTAGGTATGGAGATAGCAGAAACTATGACCCCAGATATGCAAGTGAAAATTCAGTCTATTCATCTTCCACAACCCTTAGGAGATACATGTTCTCAGGGCACAACGCTCACACAAGGAGAAAGGCTGGGCAATTTTGTTGAAGTTTAGTATTTGTGACACACGCAGTTTTCACGTCTGTTGAAGTGGAAGTGAATCCTTTGTGCAGAGGTGATGACCTGGCCTCTCGGGGACGTGTGAGACCCACTTCTCAAGTCATGTGACACTTCAGGCCAGGATTTCGTAACCACATGATACTACTAATATCACATGATAAGGCCATACCAATTTAATTTGTTGGTTCTCGGATTCGCCTCTTCGTTTTTTTCTGATTCGCAAAAAGAAAAAAGATTCTGGTTCTGAATCAACTCAAAAGTGCTTATATTTTATCTACAACAGTTGAGAAAGTCCTTTACTTCCTAGTTGTCACAGTCTTTCCATCTATCAATGCAACTTGGTTTGATTAAAAATTAAAAATTCATTGTTTAAATATTGACTCAGCCTTTTGTTTGTTTGTTTGTGTTGACTTCAAGGCTCCTATCGTAGCATTTGGGGCTATAATATGATGCCTGCATCTGTTGTTATTTTTTTTTTAGCCCTGTCACTTCATATTTTTTCTGAAAAAATCCGAGAACCAACAAATTAAATTGGTGTGGCCTAAAGTCCAGTTTTGTAGCCTTACAATAATTAAAACCCTAACACGATTGGCTGGGAAAAGGCTAAAAATTCTAATCCGAGTTTTCACTCAGAGTCTCATTGTTGACGCCCCATCACATGATTGTCATGATTTATGAGTGAAACTGCAGGTCGTTTCAAAGCCTTTGTTCAGCACAAAGGACTGGGTCCACACCACAGCATGTGGGCCTCTGTGGCGTGATGGGTTTTGTCTTTATGTAGAAGCTGTTTATGAACTGGCAGATGTGGACCAGAATATCTAAACACACTTTTGATACTATCAGTACATTGGGTCTGTAAAAGCATCATTCTACTACATTTGTGCTAGGAAAGAGAGTACTTAAGCTCCTGTTCTGTATAACAGGAGCTTTCTGAATAATTTGCATTATCTTGTCTTGACTTGTATGACTTTTGTTCCTTTTTCGACTTCCAAAAATTTGTCTTCACTTTATTTGCATATCAATCAATAGTTTGTGCTTATAAACCTGCATTTCCCCCCTGGTCTCTCAGTCACTGACGAAAGCTAGTGGATACTAGCTGAAACGTCTGACGTTTTCAAAATCATATCCAGTTGCTTGAGTAACTGCTTTTTGGCGTATGTGATTCTCAGTTTCACATTAAGATTCTACATGTATTTTTTGTGCCTCTTGGATGCAGTCCAGAACTGAGCGAAAGTGAAACTGAACGAAAGTGAAATTTGGAGGGAAGCCTAGTTTTGGGGAAACAAAAACATTTTGCAGGCATGACATCACAATGCGATGACTTTGCAGTAATGTTAGGAGTGAAACTGAAACTTCCTCTTTTAGCCAAGCCAGAAGTCAAATCCCGTTACCATTGGAGTAACAAAATCCAGATATATTTATTAAACCTTCCTAGTTTTCCTGAAGTGAAGTTGTTTTCCTACAGAACAGTTCAGTTGTGGAACTCCTTACCCAACAGTGTAGCGAGTGCTGAAAGTGTTATTTAACAGTTTCAAAACAAGACTGGAATAACCATTGGGACAAGAAGAAATACCAGACGTGAGGAGAGGGTGTTACAACAGGCAGATAGCCTTCAAACATTGAGAGATTCTGAAGGTATTCTAGATCTTAAGGTATCATATTTGTTTTCCCACAGAACTGTTCAGTTGTGTACAGACTGAGAAAACATGTCAGATAACCCAAAGGCGGAGTCCAGCCCCATTGCCGACGACAACGGGCGTAAGTGGATCCCGCCAAACCTGCCCAGCCGCTGCACCTGGCACCTGGGAGTCTCCGCAGACAAGTCTCCACATGTTCACCTGCCCCCCAGGTAAGGACACATGTTCACCTGCCCCCCAGGGCCTAGGAAAAAATGTTGTTTCCTGTTTCAGTCCTGAAAAAATTAGGGATGGTAGGTAGGGATTATCTTTTATTTTTTGTTTCTTCATTTTTTTTATTTCATTTTAATTACAAAATTAATAGCAGTACAGTACTCCAGTCAGAAGCTCTGAGAAAGTTTCTGATAGGTTTCGAAACGTAACCAGGTGAGAGACATTACTGATTATGTAAAAAGAAAATCCCACTGTCCTATTTTCTACCAACCTGATTGAATTATTTTGGAATGTTTTGAATCCCAGGAAACGTCCGGAGAAGGTCGTGCCGAACATCCTGAGCATGATCGGAAACACTCCGCTGGTCAAGATCAACAACATCTCCAAGACCTTCGGGGTCAAGTGCGAGCTCTGTAAGTCTAATAAGTACCTTATCCTCCTCTGTCTGAATGAAGATTGGTGTCCAAATCATTATCAGGACAGCCACATTTTGTGTGATTTCTGTACGTTGTGTTGTGTTTTAGATGTGAGGTGAGTTCTGTAAATCTGTTGTGTGTTGCATTGTTAGGCCACGCCAATTTAATTTGTTGTTTCTCGGATTCGCCCTGTCCATTTTTTTTCTGATTTTGCAAAAAAAAATTTTTGGTTCCAAATCAACTGCAAAAAGACTTGAACTTGGCTTGAACGGTTGAAGAAAGTCCTCTTCTTCCTAGTTGTTAAAGTTTTTCAATGTAACAATGCAACTTTGTTTTGTTCAAAGTTCTAAACATTGTTTTGATTATAAACCAGCCTGGTATGTTGACTTCATAGCTCATATTGTACCATTTCCGGCTCTCACAGGGTGCTTTGGCCTGTTTTTTTTTTTTTCGCCCTGTCGCTTCATATTTTTTCTGAAAACATCTGAGAAGCAACAAATTAAATTGATGTGGTCTTATAGCATTATACAAGTGAGTTGTATAATGCTGACTCTGGTGTTGTATCATAGATGCGAAGTGTGAGTTCTGTTGTGTTGTTCTAGATGCGAAGTGTGAGTTCTGTTGTGTTGTTGTAGATGCGAAGTGTGAGTTCTGTTGTGTTGTTCTAGATGCGAAGTGTGAGTTCTGTTGTGTTGTTATAGATGCGAAGTGTGAGTTCTGTTGTGTTGTTATAGATGCAAAGTGTGAGTTCTGTTGTGTTGTTCTAGATGCGAAGTGTGAGTTCTGTTGTGTTGTTATAGATGCAAAGTGTGAGTTCTGTTGTGTTGTTCTAGATGCGAAGTGTGAGTTCTGTTGTGTTGTTCTAGATGCGAAGTGTGAGTTCTGTTGTGTTGTTCTAGATGCGAAGTGTGAGTTCTGTTGTGTTGTTCTAGATGCGAAGTGTGAGTTCTGTTGTGTTGTTATAGATGCGAAGTGTGAGTTCTGTTGTGTTGTTCTAGATGCGAAGTGTGAGTTCTGTTGTGTTGTTATAGATGCGAAGTGTGAGTTCTGTTGTGTTGTTATAGATGCGAAGTGTGAGTTCTTCAACGCTGGTGGGAGCGTGAAGGATCGCATCGCCCTGCGGATGGTGGAGGATGCGGAGCGGGAGGGGAGGCTCAAACCCGGCGACGTCCTCATCGAACCAACGTCAGGAAACACAGGTCAGTTTTATCGGGGTAGCAACAGGCTGTATAACAAGGTCCTTTTGTTTTAAAGTTAAAACTTTAATCCAACACAAAGAAGTTCTCTATCTCACCTAGAGTTTTCGACCAGTCACTCTGGTCTTCCTCAGTAGACTGACTGGTAGACGATGTCGGCCCCCGTTGCGGTTAAGTGAAGGGCGGTGGGCCCTGATGTAAATAGCCTCATTCACAAATAGTCTTGTTCAGTGTCCAAACTCCTTACAGTGTCAAGTGAAACAAAGTGTCCGGGTGACTCTGTGTGGATGTGTAACCTGGCTTTTGTTTACAACCATTCGGTTTTCACATCCATTGTTTCAATGACTGTTTATCGCCCTCTTTGGCAATGAGGTTGGCCTTGCCTTGGCAGCTGCTCTGCTTGTAGTGTACATGTTTTATTGTTCCCCCTGCAGGTATTGACCTTGTCCTGGCCGCTGCTCTTAAAGGGGTTACCGGTGCTATGTTTGTAGGCCTTGGCAGCTGCTATGCCTATAGTGAACAAGTTTAACTGTTCTGCAGTCTTTTCTATGCCTGTAGTGTACATGTTTTATTGTTCCCCCTGCAGGAATTGGCCTGGCCCTGGCTGCTGCGGTGAAAGGGTACCGCTGCTCTGCTTGTAGTGTACATGTTTGTAGTGGTTAACTGTTGTTTCCCCTGCAGGAATTGGCCTTGCTTTAGCCGCTGCGGTGAAAGGGTACCGCTGCTCTGCTTGTAGTGTACATGTTTGTAGTAGTTAACTGTTGTTTCCCCTACAGGAATCGGCCTTGCCTTGGCTCCTGCTGTGCCAGTAGTGAACATGTTTAACTTGTTGTTCTCCCCTGCAGGAATTGGTCTGGCCCTGGCCGCTGCGGTGAAAGGGTACCGCTGCATCATCGTGATGCCCGAGAAGATGAGTATGGAGAAGGTGAACATCCTCCGCGCCCTGGGAGCAGAGATCGTGCGAACCCCAACCAGCGCCTCGTTCGACGCGCCCGAGTCTCACATCGGAGTCGCACAGCGTCTGAACCAGGAGATCCCAAACTCACATATCCTTGATCAGGTACGACACACACACACGCACACACACACACGCACACACAAACTCACATATCCTGGACCAGGTACCACATACACACGCGCGCTCACGTTTGCACGCGCGCACACACACACACAGCGTCTGAACCAGGAGATCCCTAACTCACATATCCTCGATCAGGTACGACACACACGCGCACACACACACACACACAAGCACAAACACACACACACACGCACACAGCGTCTGAACCAGTAGATCCCTAACTCACATATCCTCGATCAGGTACGACACACACATGTGCACGCGCGCGCGCGCACACACACACACACACACACACACACACACACACATACACACACACAAGCACACACACACACACACACACACACACAAACTCACATATCCTCGATCAGGTACCAACAGGCAGAACATAAAAGCTAGTCCATAAGCCTTCTTCAGGCCATAGGGGCAGTGGGTTGTTATTTAGGTAAAGGTAGTCCTACATGTATAGCCATTTTGGGGCCATAGGGGAAGTGGGCTGTTATGTACTGTGTCTAGGATACAGTATTGGAAGGTGGACCTTCCAATGCCTTTTACCTTCCCAACAGAAGCCAGGTACATGCACACATTTTACACCTGGGTGGAGTGAGGAGAGTTATGTTAAGTGCCTTTCCCAGGGACACAATGTCTAGTCGGGCCACTGCAGGCCATGAAATAGTGAAAGAAAGTATTCCAGAGCAAGATGTTTGTCCCAACTTGTAACTGTGGAGCCAAAAGTTGATTGACAACGTAGCCAGCACATGTACAATGTTAATGCATGGTTTAGCCAAGAACAGAGCACTACTGGTTGCAGTAGTGCTAATGTACATGTACTAAGATGTTGAACCCTTTTTCTTCCCAGTATCGGAACCCCAGTAACCCCATCGCTCACTATGATGGGACAGCTGAGGAGATCATAGCTCAGTGTGATGGTGAGTTTTCTCTTGTACGTTGTACATGGTGATACTGAAGCATTTGATATACACATCAATGTTTATTCTTTGATAGAACAGAAGATTGTTTATGCTGACACTATCATGGGAGTTACATTTTGTTTATGCCCATGGACATGGTTGTAGCTGGGACAGGGAGAGGGTTTGATAGAACTTGATAGAAGATTGTTGAGTTGAGTGAACTGAATGAGTTGACACTAGGAGATTTTTTGTTCTTCCTCAGGTCCAGTTGACATGGTTGTAGCCGGGGCAGGGACGGGAGGGACCATCAGTGGACTGGCCAGGAAGCTGAAGGAGAAATATCCCAATATTCAGGTGCGAGAGACAAAACCAGAGATAGTCAGTCTGCAGAGAACTGTTTCAGGTTTCTAGGAACAAATGCAAGCGTGATTTGAATACAAACATGTATTTTTGTCCCCCCCAAAAAAATTATCTAACTACTTTTATGATCCAAATGTCAGCCCACAAAATTTAATCAGCCACTTACGTCTTGTCACCACCTTCATGTATATATAGACTGGTTTATTTCGAAAGGAACATACATACAACATACATATAAGTTGCTAATTGCAGCCCGCGGGCTGAATTGGGCAGCTTTTACAATGGGATACACAGGTAGAATATATTTAACATGTACATAACTTAAGCATAAGCATCAAATATTGCACTGGATTATTGCACTTTTTATTGCACTAGATTATTGCACTTTTATGTTAAAATTACATCGTTACAAGATCGGTTACAAATTACATGATATAGCATAAAAACGATTACAACAAACATAAGATAAAACACTATTACAACATATAGAGCTATTATAAAAAAATAATCTACTATAAGTCCAAGGTGTTCAATATGTGCAACATTGAGGGAACCGGGCTACGTAGATATCTTTGTGTCCCTTTGGGTGGTTTGTATCGCCGTGTTTGCCTAAGCTGCATATTGTGTGGGTGGTTACTGTCTGCAGGTAGCCAAGGGGCATGCCTAGACCTTGTAACTGGATTACATGAGATCCAAGTCATGCCCCTGGAGACATAATGTAGCTGAGACGTACAAATGTACACTCATTACTTTCTTTGTTGTACAGATTGTTACTGTTGACCCTGAGGCTTGCACACTGATGCTGAGGCTTGATGCCTGCCATTTGCCTCTATACTGTGGGTTCACGCTGTGTAAGTGGAGGTGGTGGAAGTCCTCCCTTATGTTGTTCATCCTTCTTTGTGTTGCCCAGGTTGTAGCTGTTGACCCTGAGGGCTCGGACCTGGCCGAGCCAGAAGAGCTGAACAAGACGGACACAAACTTCTACGAAGTGGAGGGGATCGGGTACGACTTTGTCCCCACCGTGCTGGACAGACGGGTGGTCGACAAGTGGTACAAGTCCAACGACAGGGAAACCTTCCTCATGGCCCGCAAACTCATCCAGGAGGAGGGGCTGCTGTGTGGTAAGAACACTGCTCTTTCATTCACTCTTTCACTGTAAGAACCATGCATGAAAGACTTACAAAATGCAGAGTACGAATTGTGAATCTGTATAGTATTGTAAGCCCACGTGCATTGTAAGTTTTTGATTATGTAAATGTTAATATTTATGTTAATATCCATCTGTAAATTTCCAACAGGTGTGGGTTCTGGTAGTACAATGGCAGCAGTTCCGTGAACATGTCCATTTTCCTTACACTATGAAATTTACCATGAAGACAAAGTGAATGACAATGTGTTTCAGTGTTTCTATGCTGTGTACTATTCCCAGATGACAGTTATGGTAGTGCCATGGCAGCGGCTGTAACGTTACATGTTCTGTGAACATGTCCATTTTGCTCAGACTATGAAATTTATACCATGAAGACAAAGTGAATCACAGTGTGTTTCAGTGGTTACGTTTCGATGTCTATCAGACACCTTCCTCATAGCTTCTGAGGAAGGTGTCTGATAGACATCGAAATGTAAGCAGGTGAGAACCTTACTGGTTGTGTAAGAAGAAAATTCTATACCCTAAGTATCTTCCAACCTGATGAAATTATTTACGGAAAAAAGGAGTGTGTTTCAGTGTTTCTATATTGTTCCCAGGTGGGAGTTCTGGCAGTGCGATGGCAGCGGCTGTTCAGTGTGCCAAGGACCTGAAGGAAGGCCAGCGTTGTGTGGTCATCCTGCCGGACTCCATAAGGAACTACATGTAAGTTCTGTTTCCTAGTGGGATATACAGTTAACCCTAACCCTGCCGGACTCCATAAGGAACTACATGTATGTAGCTTTCATAGTGGGATATACAGTTAACCCTAACCCTGCCGGACTCCATAAGGAACTACATGTAAGTTCTGCTTTCCTAGTGGGATATACAGTTAACCCTAACCCTGCCAGACTCCAAAAGGAACTACATGTAAGTTTGCTTTCCTAGTGGGATATACAGTTAACCCTAACTCTGCCTGACTCCATAAGGAACTACATGTAAGTTCTGCTTTCCTAGTGGGATATACAGTTAACCCTAACCCTGCCAGACTCCAAAAGGAACTACATGTAAGTTTGCTTTCCTAGTGGGATATACAGTTAACCCTAACCCTGCCAGACTCCATAAGGAACTACATGTAAGTTCTGCTTTCCCAGTATCATCTACAGTTAACCCTAACCCTGCCGGACTCCATAAGGAACTACATGTATGTAGCTTTCCTAGTGGGATATACAGTTAACCCTAACCCTGCCGGACTCCATAAGGAACTACATGTAAGTTCTGCTTTCCTAGTGGGATATACTGTAACAGTTACCTACCTACCTACTGCTCCACCGCATATCAGCTACTGCTGAGGCGGGCCATCATTGATTTCCATCTTCCTCTGTCTTGTGCTGCTCGTTGCGCCCCCTCCCATTCGCAACCCATCACTGTAAGGTCTCTTTCCACTGTTTTTCTCCACGTCATACTCTGACCGCCCCTCTTCCTTTTTCCTTGTGGACACCACGTTAACACCACTTTTGGCAGTCTTTGCCTTGGCATTCTAGAAACGTGGCCTAGCCACCTCAGCCTTGCTCTTTGTACTAGTTTAGAGAGCTTTGGCTGACCTGTCCTACGCCTGATCTCGTCATTGCTAGTGTGTTGTTGCCACCTGACTTTTAATATGGCCCGAAGCCATCTCTGATCCGCAACGTCCAGCCGTTTTTCCTGATTGGAGGTCATTTGCCACGTCTCAGACCCGTACAGGACTGTAGACAGCACACATGCATTGTATATCCGTATTTTCGTACCAATCTTTATATGTTTATCCTTCCAGATTCTTTTCAGTTTCGTAAATGCAGCTGCCCCTAGCCCAATCCTTTTTCCAATCTCAACACTGACGTTGTTCTCTTTGTCTGCTGTGCTACCCAGATAAGTAAATTTGGATACCTCCTCCAGATCTTCCCCATCCAACTTGATGGCCACTGCTTTCTCCTGGTTCACTGTCATTACTTTGGTCTTCTTCTTACTTATGCATAGCCCAACAGATCGACCAGTGACAGACAGCTTGTCAGTTTTTCCCTGCATCTTCTGTCTTTCCTCACTGATAAGAGCGAGATCATCGGCAAAGTCCAAGTCCTCCAGGTGCCCATGTCTAGTCCATGGTATCCCTTGCTTCTTACCTTCTGTCACGGTCTTCATCAACCAGTCTATAACCAAGCCAAAAAGAAGCGGTGACAAAATACAACCCTGCCGCACTCCTGTGACCACACTAAACCATTCCGAGATGTCACCACTATCCAACCTGACTGCACATTCACATCCGTTGTACATCTCCTTGATGACCCTGGTGAGTTTTTCTGGTATTCCATAGTGCCTCATTATTGCCCAAAGCGAAGGTCTGTACACACTGTCAAACGCTTTCTCAAGGTCCACAAAGTTGATCGTAAGTGGTTTGTCCCTAGCTACATACTTCTCCAGTATTTGCCTGAGCACAAAGATCTGATCCGAACATGACCTCCCACTTCTAAAACCGGCTTGCTCTTCCCGCATGACCTCATCTACTGCCTGTTTAATTCTGCTGGACAAAAGTGATGCTAGCACTTTTCCCGGCACAGAAAGTAGGGCAATTCCTCTCCAATTATCACAACATGTTAAATCACCTTTCTTTGGCAGCTTGACGATTATTGCCCGTTTCCAGTCTTTGGGTACCTCCCCTGTTTCCAAGACAATGTTGCATATTGTGTATAGCCATTCTGTGGACGCTGTACCCCCTGCCTTAATCTGCTCTGCCGAGATGTTATCAATTCCTGGGGCCTTCCTTGGCTTTAGCCTCCCTATGGCCTCTTCTACTTCCTCCATTGAGAAGGGTTCAACCTTAATTGGTAAGTCTGTGTTGGCTGGTGGTATTACTGGTGGGTTTGTGGGGATTGGTCTGTTGAATACTTCAGAAAAGTGCTCAGCCCACCTTTTTCCCTGACTGTGTTCGTCCGTTAGTAAAACTCCATCTTTATTCTTCACTGGCTGTAACAGTTTTTGACCTTTTGTGCCAGACAGAATCTTAATTTTCTCGAATACAACTCGGGTGTTACCTGCTTTAGCCGCCTTTTCTGCTTCAAGCGCCTGCTCATCATACCATTTCTGCCTATCACTATTTGCTAGGTCTCTCACTTTCTTTGCTTGAGCTACATATTTTCGACGGGTAGCACGGGTATTTCGGTTGCATACTAACTCTTTAAGTGTTCCCCTCTCTTCAATGGCCGCCCATGTCTCCTGTTGAATCCAAGGTTTGTTTGGTTTTCGTTGTTTCTCTAGGTTACTTGCTGTGAATGAGTTCACTGTATTACTGTATTTTTGGTATACCTCCTCTGCATTAGCTTCAGGATTTACCCCTGCAAGATTCTTTCTCAGCTCATCCTGATAGGCTTTGTTCGTGCATTCATCATATCTTAATTTGTCAAAATTATACTGTATATTCCCTTTCTTTTTCTTCTGTTGTTTGAACTTAACCTTCCATTCTGCAACTACGAGGTGGTGATCACTATCAATGTCTGCTCCTCTGTACACCCTGCAGTTGCTTATGGTTTGCCTTTGCCCTATTGATATGCAAATGTAGTCAATTTGGGTTCTTGTTTGTCCGTCTGGGGATATCCATGTTCTTTTGTGTATATTGGGATGTCTAAACCATGTACCCGTTATGCCAATTCCATATGTACTGCACAATCCTAGAAGTCTTTCCCCATTATTATTCCGTGTGCCAACCCCTTCTGTGCCAATCACATTTGCGAATCCTGAGTTGTCAGATCCTACTTGGGCATTGAAATCTCCTAGTAGCAAGACCATGTCAGACAGTTAACCCTAACCCTGCCGGACTCCATAAGGAACTACATGTAAGTTCTGCTTTCCTAGTGGGATATACAGTTAACCCTAACCCTGCCGGACTCCATAAGGAACTACATGTAAGTTCTGCTTTCCTAGTGGGATATACAGTTAACCCTAACCCTGCCAGACTCCATAAGGAACTACATGTAAGTTGCTGATTGTTCATGCTGGTCATGTTGTGCTGGGTTCCCTATATAATCTCCTGTATATAATCTGTATGTTGCTGACTTGTTCATGCAGGTCGAAGCACCTGAGCGATGACTGGATGTCGGAGAGGAACTTTCTGGAGAAGACGTCGGAGGGGGCGGAAAAGAACAAACCCTGGTACGTCTACAGGACTGGGGGGTCTAAAGGCACTGTTGTGGATGATGCTGTGTTATGTGTGCATGTGTGTGTGTATGCATGTGTGTGAGTGTGTGTGTGTGTGTGTGTACATGTAGGTCCACCATGCTGTGCCGTGTCGTAGGTGGTCCGTACTGTGTAATAATGTTTGTCCTATAGATCCTGGAAATTGTATAATCATCGTGTTGTGATGTCTCCCAGGTGGTGGGACATGAAGGTCCACGACCTGCAGCTGCACCTGTGTGTGTTGTGTTGTGTTGTAGCTGTTGTGTTGTAGTTGTTGTAATGATGAGTTGTAATGATGCTGTGTTGTTGTACAGGTGGTGGGACATGAAGGTCCATGACCTGCAGCTGCACCTGTGTGTGTTGTGTTGTAGCTGTTGTGTTGTAGCTGTTGTAATGATGAGCTGTAACGATGCTGTGTTGTTGTACAGGTGGTGGGACATGAAGGTCCACGACCTGCAGCTACACGCGCCCATCACCGTCCTGCCGACCGTCACCTGTGCAGAGGCCATCGACCTCATGAAGACAGAAGCCATCGACCAGATGCCCGTGGTGGGGGAGGCAGGGTGAGTTCTTATCTTCACCAGAGTGTGGTTCAAGTACGGCACGCTAAGATAATCCTCTGGTTATTCTTAACCCTTATCATTTGCCACGTAAGCAGGTGAGAGACGTTTTATTACTGGCTGTGCCAAATAAAACTCCAATGTCCAATGGCCATTCGTCTTTTGGATGTACCAGGAAATGGCACTAACAAATACCAGCCGTTATGTTTTGTCGGCGAGCTGTAGAGTAAGCATGAGATTTACGGCCACCATTTTTGCATTGTAGGGAGATCCTGGGCATGGTAACCCTGGGCAACATGATGTCACAGCTGGTGGCCGGCCGCGTCAACAGCCAGACGCCCGTCTCCCACGTGCTCTACAAACAGCCGCAGCAGGTGCAGGTGGGTACACTTACAAACAGCCGCAGCAGGTGCAGGTGGGTGCACTTACAAACAGCCGCAGCAGGTGCAGGTGGGTACACTTACAAACAGCCGCAGCAGGTGCAGGTGGGTACACTTACAAACAGCCGCAGCAGGTGCAGGTGGGTACACTTACAAACAGCCGCAGCAGGTGCAGGCGGGTACACTTACAAACAGCCGCAGCAGGTGCATGGGTACACTTACAAACAGCCGCAGCAGGTGCAGTTTCTCAAGCAACTTGATAGATTCTAAAAACAGACGTTTCAAGTACATTGTAGCATCTACTACATTTCATCAGTTTCCAAATATTAGCTGAACTCTTAACTATTATGTAAAAACTGTGGTTCATATGAGAGGAAAGGATATTTCAGAGGCTTCAATAATCACTGGCAAAAGCACAGCTTCAAGAGAATAAGCAGACAAGAATCTGTTGCATAAGAGCAGTATATTTGAAGGCTTGAGGTTTGGTAGTTCCCATGTAGGGAAGTGCTGTTGTATGACTGACAGTTGTTTTCTGTTGTTGTAGATAACCCTGGACGACACCCTGGGCAGCCTGTCTCGTATCCTGGACACGCAGCATTTTGCTCTGGTCATCCACGAACAAAGACAATGTGAGTTCTGCACTCAACCTACACTTTCTCTTACACATTACAGGGATATATGCATGTTGACATTTTGTCAATGGAGTTTAGAGTGAACTTCAATAACAGTTCAATCAATAACAGTTCAATAACAGTTTAGTCATTTTAAAAAAAGCCTCGCAGCCTGTAGAAAAACATGCTGAATAACACTGATTTTTTTACAGTTACTTGTCTGGCAAATACAAATTAACATTGCAATACATATACAAACACACGAACAAAAACATTACAAAAAGCCTCACATGGGCACAGGTATATTTTCTTCATACTATATATCGGTAGTATAATGTCCAACCTGAATCTTTCTACCAAACCCACTTTAGCAACCTTTTGACTTACAACGTTAATGTTTGCCTGTGGTACCCCTTTTTTTCCAAGACTGAGACTGAGTTTTGGGCTCACTTCTTTCTACATCCTCAACAGTTTCTTTTCTAGCTAATAGGAGATTTTCATTGTTCCACACAATATTACCGGGATGTTGTTACAATTTGTCAATGTTTAGAGTGAACTTCACGGGTATATTTTCTTCAAGTTTTCAACATCAAGCTCACTTTAGCAACCCTTTGAATCATAGAAATCGGCACTGATTTGCTTTTGAGCCAAGGTTTGTACAGATGTTGGGCTAGTGCCCCTGAAAATTCTAACAAGGTTTGGACTTTTCTTTGTGTGTTTCCCTCTCAGTAGACGGGGGTAGTGAACTCCAGTCCAAGAAAATGATTTTCGGGCTGGTGACGGCGATCGACCTGCTGAACTTCATCACGCACCATCCCAAGAGCAACAACGGCAAGAACGGCCAGTGATGAGCCCGGCCAACACGTAGCTCCAGAAACGAGGGCCTGCATGGGGGGGTAGTGATTACAAGTTACGCAAAATTTTTGCCACCGAGTACAAAGTATGTTACATTCTCAGATCTGATTATAAACAATTGCACGTTAAGGCTAGTGTACTGATTAGGAATTGCGATAATTTGGGAGGGCTGCCTACGGATTACGGAGACTTAAAATGGCCTGATTACGCCTTACGAAAAGAGCACATGCAGGCCCTCAGAAAGGAGCCAAGTTGGGAGCCTGCAGCTTGTAATTCCTCCATGACCACTTCCAGAAATGGTTTGGTTACAGTTTGAAACGCAATGATGTCCCCTTCTGAAATACATGGAAAATACCAGGAAACTATAAAGGTCACATTTGCAAAGCAAATGCATGATGTTTACTTTCACATGGTCTAGCCTAGTAAACCACTGCTCTGTTCTCTCTTACTCAAACATATTCATTATATAGTGACCAGCCCCTCCAATTCTCCTACCACTTTCTACATAATGTTACTTGTTCTACTTCTGACTACATGTAATACCAAACCATCGGTTACCATGGTGACAGTCCTCTGGCCCAGGTCATTGACCTTATTTGTTTGGAGAAGAGGTGGATTTTACATTAGGAGATTTAGGTAATAAAGAGGTCTTTATGTTTTTCTTCAAAAGTGTTAATAAGGTTTCAGGAGCTTTAAGATTGTCAATTTTTTTGTGGTTGTATTTTATCTGAAAATTATTTTCACATACTGGCTAATTAATCAATTGTAATAAATGTATACTGAGCTGCGGAGATATTGATTCTGCAAGGAATAAAATAATATCATGTATTATACATACAGGAGAGCAGACCATAATCAGTTGTGCCAATCTTGGCACTCAAAAGCTTCATTTTGCCATCAGTGGTATTCATGTATAGAAAATATTAAGAATTGCTGCTTTTTATGATTAGTTTTCTTGACAGATCAGATCTACTCAATGCATTGTTGTCATCTACACAATGTTTGGTTACAGCATAGGAGGAATTATAAGGTGAACTAACTTGTTCAATAAGGATAGAAAAACCACCGGTAGCTTCTTGTTGCAGAATCTTTTGTCTTACAGTTGAGTTATAGTTGATAGCATTAATATTTGTTCATTTTAACATGCCTAAGCGTGAAAACTTAATGTGTTACATATGAAAACAGGTAGAGTTTCCACTGTATTATTTTGACATACTGGACCACTATCATATTATTATGTTTCGACACAAGAAATCAAAAGGTGACTAATTTTTTTGTGAATAGTTACAATTTGGATGTTGAAGATTCATTTTCTCACTTTTTATGTCATATTCAGAGATGTTTATTACTTAAGAGACTATGATTGAAACCAGTATTACCAAGGTTCTATTGGCTAGGTGACTGAAACTAAAACTGATTTTTCAGTGCTGTGTAGTGCTGTTAGAAACAGGTTGTGACGGGTTTATATGTGTTTGATATGCAATAAGTATGTGTTAAGGGAGGAATACAATCAAACATTGGCTGGCTGAGCACCAGGTGTGGGGACTGGCTATTTTCATAACCTCCTTTCAAATATCTGTCAGTTCAACAATGGAGAATACAAACTACATTATGTCCTTGAGCTGCCAGAATGTTTGATGAAACAAAAAGAATGTTATCAAGTGTCTTGCTATGAAGTGTACAGTGTAGGTGATCACTTTTCCTTCAGTGTCTGCTGCACAAGAGGTAATATTTCATGTACTCTTATGGGATGACATTAAATAAAGTTCTTAAAACTGAAGGCACAAAATGTCTCCTCTGATGGATTTGCCCACATGTGCACATGTAGGTCATCAAGTAATCTCCAAGCAGATCCTACGGTGGCAAGACAGTATCAATTGTACCGATGAGTGAACGTTTGTGGCTAATGGTTACTCCTCAGGCCAATGGATACTGTCTTGCCACCGTAGGATCTGCTTGGAGATCATCATCAATGAATTGCAGTTGTGTTTTTGATAGTTGTGAGGCACTACGTACTGATGTTTTGTGTCGAGTCCAACATGGCTGTGAATGTGAGATCAGGAACAGAGAAAGCAACTGTAAGCTTCAATCTGTGGAAAGGTGATTTAATGTACCTATTTATAGTGACTTTGTAATGTTTAATGACAACCTTGAAGTATCCACTCATAGCAAGAGTTTTGCATACAAGATAGAAACCTTTCTAATGTGTGTATTCAGTAATCTCTCTTTTGGTTGCTACTGGACAGTATCAAACTCGCATGGCAGTGTCCAATGAGCTCTTAAAAAAGAACTTAAAAAAATAAAGCAAAATAAAAAACCTGAAATAATATCAAAATAAACCAATGGCTAAAAATGTGCTTGGAGAATATGTATTTACTAGTATTACACATCTAGCCCCAGTCACAGGTACCTGTTTTACTGCACAGTTAGGCCACACAAATTTAATTTTTTGGTTCTCGGATTCGCCTCTTCATTTTTTCTCTGATTTGCAAAAAAAAGCTCATATTTTGCCCTCAACAGTTGAGGAAAGTCCTTTTCTTCCTAGTTGTTACACTTTTTCCATCTATCAATCCAGTGGTTTGATTAAAAGTTAAAAATTCATTGTTTAAATTTTATCCCAGCCTTTTGTGTTGACTTCATGGCTCCTATCTAAGCCTTTGGGGCTGTAATAGGATGCCAAGACCTGTTTTTATTTTTTTTATTTACGCCCTTATTTTCGAGAACCAACAGATTAAATTGGTGTGGCCTTAGATAGCAGTAGTGTTAGAGAAAAACCCATTTCGTCCATAGGACCCTTGCGTTTGGGCATCCACGTGTGGCTAAGCCATAGAGACATAACAGGTGTTACTCTCTGAAGCTTACAGTTAATTGTGTGGGCAACAGTTGTTATATACGTCTTTATGTGGTCACGTAACTTTAAATTATGGTCCAGGCTTGACATCGAAGCTATTACAGCCCCGAAGACACAGCCTGCCCCAACTAACATGCCCCAACCACGTAAGACCAGGCTAGGTGAGACCCCAGCACGATAACCTCGGTACCGGCCACCTGCCGGCTCCCATGACCGGTGTCCGGCCGGGTGTGGCCCCGCCCCAGGTCCCAGCCCCCCCGAAGCCTGGTAGCTTCAGGCTAGCACGGTGAGCCCGATAACCTGTGTCCTGGATGCCAAACTCGTTTCGGGCCGTTAGCCGTTTCCCTTCGGCAGCAAAGAACCCTTCACCCGCCTTTC